GAGCTGAAGTCGGATGCTCAGCCAACTGCCCCGAACCTATGGTCTTAACCTCGGTGCTGAACTTCCTCTGACAGACGAGTTTAATAAACGCTAGGTGTTGTCATTAAACGCAAGGACAGCAAGGGGTAGACAATACTCAAAGAGCGGAATTGGAGGAAGAACTCAGGAGATGGGTAGCTTGATTCACGAAATGGAGACAGGAGCTGAAGTTTCACATCCAGGAAAAAACACAGCAGTTTCCCGTGAGTGGAGCCCAGTGAGGATGGCCATCGAGAGAGCATGCGGGAGGTTAAAAGCCACGGGTCAGGCTCAGAAAAGGAAAAGTCTTGCTAAAGTATCAGAGCCTTACAACGAGGGACAGCAGCTGAGGCAAGGACGCCTGGGCCGGAGCCATAGAGCCTTCAACATTTGCCACAATACAAAACATATGCTGTGATTTTTTTTTTTCTAACACGGAGGCTTTCAAGGGTAAAAAATTTTGGCCTGGAACTCCCAGACTAAGTTAGTGGTTTTGGCCTGAGAAAAAAAAAAAAGAGCATTTACTGAAATGACATGCACCCTTTCATCTATCTCCCTATATTTTAAAATATTGGTTTAAACATGATCCACGACTCGAGGGCCGAGCTTGCATCACATCCCTGGAAATGAAGTAATGACTCTCCATGTGACATCTGGCAAACTGTCCCGGCACTCCAGGCCTTGGGAATACTTGTTATGCTTCCAGCAAAAACAAGTTGTTAAAGGATGAAGGAGCAGTCTCTCTCTTCTAAACTAAACATGTGGTCAGAACATGTGGTCAGAGGACAGGAAACAGCAGAGAAAGGTAATTTGATTTGGACTCATGCTTGCTTGTTACGTCCAAATAGAGAGTCACAAAGGAAGCCACAGCTGGGGTTCAGATAATCAGCCGATAGTACTGACAGAGCCATAACAGTGTGTCGTTGAATTCTCCAAGGAAAGAAAGAGAGAGAGAGAAAGACAGAGAGAGAGAGAGAAAGAGAGGAGTTCTTGATCACTCTCTAACTCTGGGCCAGAATATGGAGTGCCGAAGTACGAATAACACGTAATAAGCTCTTTTGTTCACAATGTGTGACTCACTTTAAGAAATGCAGTGTGAGGTTTTTAAACTGGAGAATGACCTATTTGGATCATGACTTTGTCGCATTCATAAGTGTTGTTTAATTTAGGAAAGGATTCTGTTAAGCCATCAGAGTTTTTATTCCTCAGAAGTTTGCTAAGAATCATGGCATTGTAAGGTTCAGGAGGCCAGAGTAGATCTGGGAAGGGCTGACTGGGGACAGGACCAGGGAAAGAGCTCACCTTGCCTCTAGGAAATAAAGTTTGACTTGATCACACTACTGATCGGTCAGAAATAAGGTTGGGACAAGGACCAGGCTGGCTGCAAAATGGAATTTGCTTATAATGGTTGTGGTTGGAAGAGAGTAGGACAAGCATATCCTCTTTCAGGAGTCCTTATGTTATATTTACCGCAGTTCCCTCATCCTAGAGAAATCTGAATGAAGCTCTTTCTACCTGAAGAGAATCTGAGGCAAAGTTCTTGTAAGGGGGTAGGATCTCTGAGGTGTTGAAAACCATGGAATTCTATTATTTTCTTTGAGTATTAGGACATCACAAGTTCACACTTCACCAGCTCAGTCCGCATACAACATCCAAATACACACTCCTCGAGGGGAGAGTCCAGTCTACGCCATATTTGCACTTCCTGCTCTGCCCAAGGTGCTGGGTGAGCTGCCGTGAACGTTGGATGGGAACCCCTAGCATATCAACCGCAAGGGCTTAGATCCACAGCCTGATACCTCCCCGCTCCACTTCTCACCACCCGAGTATATCATCCCCAAAAACAGCAGTCAAAAGCACGCAAGGAAGGCTTCTTTGGAGTCCTAACTGATTCATGGAAGCATATATCCATTAATTAACTGATGGACTTGCTTATGGAGCACCTTGATGTTGGGCACTGTCCTAGGTTCTAAGGATCAAAAGATAAACAAGACACAATACCTTTCCCAAAATGGCTTGTTTTTTTGGTACACTAGAAGCATGATTCAATTTAGAAAACTTCTGTTTATAATGTGCTTACCGGAAACACATGTGTTGACTACAGCTGTGTACATCTAGAGTCAAAGGAGCAAACCGACAAGAAAGCATTCAAAGTGTATCACGTATCCATATAGGATGGATTTGCCATCTTGGCAAATGAAGTATAACACACATACGTGAACAGCCATGGCACAGCCAAAACTACAAATACGGACACTGCTTAACAAAGTCTCTGACACTGAAGACTGGGGCTCTGGATCTATTTTCTGACTTGCCGTTGAGCAAGTCGTCTGTAAAATGGACGAATAAAAATTGCCCCACATTATTGTAGTCTCCACACTTAGCCTATAGTAAAATGAGAAATCCTTCTTTTTGTTGCGGTTGTGGGTTGTTTTGTTGTTGTTATTGTTGTTGTTGTTGTTGTTGTTTTGAGAGAGAGAGAGAAGGAGAATGAGCAGGAGAGGGCCTGAGAGGGGTGGGGGGACAGAGGACCCGAAGTGGGCTCTGTGCTGACAGCAGAGAGCCCGATGTGGGGCTCGAACCCACAAACTGCAAGATCACGACCTGAGCCAAAGTCGACGTTTAACCAAGTGAACCACCCAGGTGCCCCCAATACTTCTCAAATAGATTAACTGAGTAAATACGGATCTCATCTGTGTTATTAAATGTGTTCTCATTCTCTCAGAATACAAAGAGCCCTAAGAGATCATCCTTCGTAAGGATGCATGTGAAATCACTCATGTACTCAACAAATAGGTGGCGAGACCGTGCCCTGTCCTGGGCACTACAGAGCCAGTGGTGAACAGATTGACTCCCTCTGGAGTGAGGCCAGTTATAAGTTTATTCCAGGAATCTAGGTAAGATTTTTTTAAAAAGATTTTATTTTCAAGTAATCGCCACACCTAACATGGGGCTCGAACTCACAACCCAGAACTCGAAATCACACTACTCCACCGACTGAGCCAACCAGGTGCCCCTCTAGGTAATATTTTTAAGAGACTTCAAATAATATATGGTCGAGCCTTGGGCCTGTTTCATCATCTTACCTCACAAGTGGGGAATGATCCTATTTTCATCTATAATAATCTTACTTCTCCCTTCCTTCCAATCCTCTTGGTATCTTCTACATTATTTTTTGGTCAAGCCATCGGCATTAGAGTAATTCTTTTCAGGAATGATATTTCAATATATTTTACAAACAGTACAGCTTTAGCAACAAGCTGATATGGGCCACAGGACTAAAGCCCAGTCCTGGACGTAATCTCTTGAGACCTGGACTGTGAGGAGAGGCTGGGAAGGGTCATGGGTGGGGGCTGCAAATAGCAGAGTGATGGAAGGGGTTGAGGCTCAGGACAGTGTCTATGCACCAAAGCTGTCAGCTGGGATTTCAACAAGGCCACAGATGCTAAATAAAGCGCTTGCATACCCAGTGTCTGGCTACCACAGAGCTCCAAGCAATATTAAGCTTTAGGAACGTTTCCTCTGCTTCCACAATACTCTGCGAAATTAAACCGGTTATCTGTATAACCCATATTTCAAAGTGGCCATGTGTAGACTTGTACATAAGCTCTTGATTTTTGTTAAAATGGCAACTTCTGGTTTGCGTCATACCTAAAACTGGGTAGAAATTAAAGACCTTTGCTGTTTCCCATTCTCCATTGGAAAGAGTGGTTTCAGCCTCTGACGTCTGCTTTCATAGTGGTTACACCCAAGGACCTAGTCATGAGGATTGCCCAAAATGGCAAGAAGCTGCCATTTCAGTCACTGTTGTATCTTGTTTACACAGACTGTTATTTGTTTAATAGAATAGCCTGGATTGCTTCTGGTTGTTTGGGGTTAGAACAGAGACTTAAGGAGAGCAAATCAGCTTGTTTATCTTTAGTTCAAAACAAGAGAAGAGGCTAACCTTACTATAAAGCACTGGGGGATCCTGGATTGCCTCAAGGGTTCAGGTGAAGGACGCTGCGGAAGGTGGCTGTTCCTGAGACTGAGTGAAAAGACAGGGTCAAAGGCAGGAAGGCCTCTTGGTGAGGATATATAGCCCAGTGGGCGTGCCTGCTCTTTCGATAGTTTGAGGAAAAGTCCCCTGAGCACTCAACTGAGAAAGACCAGGAGGACAAGAAATCATTCCAAAGAAAAATAATGTAGAAAACAATCCTGTTTCATTTGGACCTCTGGTTTTTGCTCTGGATTAAGGGCCAATTATATTATTAATTCATTAAACACAATGAAAAAGGATTCTTTTAATTTTTAATTGTAAAAATTTTTAATTAAGTTTATTTATTTATTTATTTAGAGAGAGAGAGTGTGTGAGAGCTAGAGCAAGAGAAGGGAGGGGGAGGGGCAGAGAGAGAGGGAGAGAGTAAGGATCCCAAGCAGGCTCTGCTCCAACAGCACATACCCCAACGTGGGGCTCAGACTCATGAACCGTGAGATCATGACCTGAGCCGAAATCACAAGTCAGATGCTTAACCGACTGAGCCACCCCGGTGGCTTAGAATGTAACAGACCATCTTAGAATGTAACAGACCATCAGTGGCCTCAGCACTGTCTCCCCACTTTCTAGCATCATACCTATCACGAAGGAAGCACCCAGAGGAAAAAAGAATTCTTGAATGAATTATGACAAATTCATAAATACAGCCTAAAAATAGAGAGTCTAAATGTCGACTTCCTACACTATGACATTCCCATGGAGTGGCTTCAATTTCCTGGGCAGTTTCACAACAAAAGTTAATTGGCTTTGTCAAGTGTGCTCTCTCACCCCATGGCCACTTTCACAACACACCATTTATTAGCAGATGAGAGTTATATAGTGATAAGTAAGCAAAACACCCAGATTCATTCATTTCTCTTCCGGCAAGCATGCATCATGTCAAACGCGGTGTTGGGGGCCCAGCGTACAACTGAACAAGAAAGAATCGGCTCGTGGCCTGGAAGAGCATACCTTCTGTTGCTCAGATTGTGGAAAGGGCCAGACTGCAAGGCGGAGTGATTCTCTCTAGCTTACTATTGTCTCTGATTACTACGTGCCGTGGATAGTCACTACCTCCGGCTGAAAACTACAGAGGTTAAGGTCTCCTGCGTGCACGTGGCAGTTAGCACATCTGAAACCTCTAGGAAGCCCGTCTTCTCTTCCTCCTAGAACCAGCGTCACTTCCTTATATCGGGGAGGCGCTTTTATAGACATCTTCCATTTTTGGCCCATAGCAAAAGAGTTGAGAACTCATCATTTGCTCCGGTTTTTCACAGAACAACAGTGAAAAGACCTGAAGCTCCGGCAACCGGCCTATTTTCAGTAGAGTGCATGCTAGAACTTATTTTTTCCAAAACCAGACATAAATCCGTGTCGTCTGTACAACATGCATAGGCCCAGTTTTCTCTGGAAAACAATAGCTAATGTGAAGGTCAGCTCATCGGTGTGGTTCAGGGCCAGGAACATGGCCAAGTAGCTGCCCGCGCAGGGCTGGCAATGATCTGTGGTGTGTCTGGACCCACTGTGCTGTCTGCCGTTGTAACCACTGTAGCGCCTCGCCCTTGTCCATGGGGCTGCCTGTGTAACAAGCAAACAAAAGTCATTATTGACAGGGTTGTTCACAAAATTATTGAACCAAGAGAGGACATCCAAGATCAAGAAGCTGGGGCATTGAGACCAAAAAGGGAAACTAAGATGGGGTGAGGGAAAGGCCGAAAGTGGACAATCCAATATCAGGGCCAAGAACCAATCCTCTGCATAAAGGGATACAGAGATGCCCGATGCTCAGGTGCAGAGCCAGAAGGATGAACATCTGAGAACGGGCTTGGAAACACCCAGCACGGGTTCAGATTCTTACACCCTGACACAAAATGGCAGATTTTGGCAGTATGTAGAAAGCGTGGAAACAGGTAGAAAACCCCTTCACTTACTTGCGTGGATAACATGACTTGCTATGGGAAGAATTCTGCATTCAGTTCAGTTTCCCAATTGATGAACCTCCGAGCTCCTGTCTTCTCTCCTTCCTCCCTAGGGCACTCTAGACACCCTGTAATCATTAAGAGAAGGCTCTTCGTCAGCTTGTGTCCCTTTTTGTCAGTTCCCGACTGTAATTTGAAATACAGGCATACCTCAGAAATACTGCAGGGTTGGTTCCAGACCACTTCAGCAAGGCGAGTATCTCAATAAAGCGAGTCACATGAATCTTTTGGCTTCCCAGTGCACATAAAAGTTATGGTTACACTATATTGTAGTCTATTAAGTGTACAATATCAGTATGTCTAAAAAACAATCTATGTATCTTAATTTAAAAATACTTTATTAGGGCACCTGCGTGGCTCTTGATTTTGTGGGTTCGAGCCCCACGTCCGGCTCCACACTGATAGTGCAGAGCCTGCTTGGGATTCTCTTTCTCTCTCCCTCTCTCTGTGCTCCTCCCCTTTTCATGCTCTCCGTCTCTCAAAATAAATAAATAAATAAACCTTAAAAATAAACAAATAAATAAAATAAAAATATTGATGCAGAGACATGAAATGAGCAAATGCTGTTGCAAATATGGAACCAATAGGCTTGCTTCCCACAGGTTTGCCACAAACCTCCAATTTGTAAAAAAAAAAAAAAAAAAAAAGGTAATATCTGCAAAGAACAATTAAGTGAAACACAATAAAATAAGGTATGCCTATAGTGGTAAAAGGGACATAACAATCAATAATTGTGACTGTCAGGGCACCTGGATGGCTCAGTAGGTTAAGCATCCGACTTCTGCTCAGGTCATGGTCTCGAAGTTCGTGAGTTCAAGTCCCGCGTCAGGCTCTGTGCTCCTGCTTCAGACTCTGTGTCTCCCTCTCTCTCTGCCCCTCCCTCAGTCACACTCTCTCTCTGTCCCAAAAATGAATAAACTTTTAAAAAATTTAAAAAATAATCGTGACTATCAATGGGATGGGGATCAATAGTGCGCTCAAGGGGCGCCTGGGTGGCTCAGTCGGTTAAGCGTCCGACTTCAGCCAGGTCACGATCTCGCGGTCCGTGAGTTCGAGCCCCGCGTCAGGCTCTGGGCTGATGGCTCAGAGCCTGGAGCCTGTTTCTGATTCTGTGTCTCCCTTTCTCTCTGCCCCTCCCCCGTTCATGCTCTGTCTCTCTCTGTCCCAAAAATAAATAAACATTGAAAAAAAAAAATAGTGCGCTCAATCATCCAGATGCTTAAACAAACCTAGACTTTACTTTCCCCGCCAAGAAAACATTGAGAATTGCACAAGCATTTGAGCACATTGAGTTGCAATTCTTGTTCAGTCATGTGACTATACAAGTTACTGAGTCTATGTCCTATCCTTGGGTATTTGGCTGTTTCCAACTTACTGTGATTGTAGAAGAATGCTGATATAAATGCTCATGAATTCTTGGAAGCATCTTTCGGGGCTCCCTGATAAGAGAAGTGGATTTCTGCCACACTGTTTTCTATCACCCCATTGAGATGCAAAGTTTCAGATCGCTCCTTTTGATAAATGATCACCAACTCCTGCTTCCATAAAATCACATCCCAGCCAGAGTTCATGGCCCCATCAGGCCTCTGTTTGTCTGAGAAGAGAGAAGAGATTCACAGCAGACACTCCTTTAGATTTATATTTTCGCATAAGTCTTTTTGTGGCCAAAGATGCTGCCTATCCACTCACAACAGCAAGTTCATAGTGAGACACAGTGAGAAAAAAAGCTTGTATAAAACTTCGTGCCTAGGACCTAGCGAGGTGTGAACGTTGCCACTTCAGCTTCAGTGATTGTGCACCTGATATGAACACCATGGCTAAATGTCACGACTTTGTGATCTTTTGAAGCATTTGGAACCCACATTTTTAAAATCTGGGTACAACTGTCAGTGTTTCCTAATGCCTTGTCTATCCATAGTTAAAATGTGGGCTAAGCATTATCCAGAAATTAAGGAGACACTAGACACGCCTTTTCGCTCTTCCAATGGCGTGATACGAGGCTTGAACTGCTTGCGTACCGGACCTCGAACTTCAGATTTTCCCATCTGGGGTCAGAATCGGGGACCAATTAGTAGGCAGAGGCCTGTCACTGCCCACTTCAGCTGTCTCCCGCATCACACCATGAAGGCTCTGTTGTCTCTATTAAGGAAAATCTGGGAATCTAACATGCAGAACAGTAGCGATAATTTCCATTTGTCAAGCCCTTCGGCTGCATTTCGGACAAGCCATCTCCTTCAACCTTGCCAACATCCCCGGGCACCTGTGAGGTGAATAGTATCATTTCCTTCATTTTCCCAGTCAGGAGGGCAGTCTCATACAAGACTCTAACTCAAGATGCCACCGAGGCCTAACGCCGAGATTAAATCAGAGCCGCAGCCACAGATGGATGATATCGGCTACCATGGATGCCCAAGACAACGAACAAAGTAAAGGTGGAGAGAATTAAAAACACTGCTTTGGCTGCTGGTGGGAATGCAAATTGGTGCAGCCACTCTGGAAAACAGTGTGGAGGTTCCTCAAAAAATTAAAAATAGACCTACCCTATGACCCAGCAATAGCACTGCTAGGAATTTCCCCAAGGGATACAGGAGTGCTGATGCATAGGGGCACTTGCACCCCAATGTTTATAGCAGCACTCTCAACAATAGCCAAATTATGGAAAGAGCCGAAATGTCCATCAACTGATGAATGGATAAAGAAATTGTGGTTTATATACACAATGGAGTACTACGTGGCAATGAGAAAGAATGAAATATGGCCCTTTGTAGCAACATGGATGGAACTGGAGAGTGTGATGCTAAGTGAAATAAGCCATACAGAGAGAGACAGATACCATATGTTTTCACTCTTATGTGGATCCTGAAAAACTTAACAGAAGACCATGGGGGATGGGAAGAAAAAAAAAAAGAGGTTAGAGAGGGAGGGAGCCAAAGCATAAAAGACTCTTAAAAACTGAGAACAAACTGAGGGT